AGCCTGGCCCATTTAGCTTGCTCATTTCCTCGCAAGCCTGCGTGCCCTGGCTCGAATATGAAGCCGATCTTTTGTCAGCCCTGACGGCCTTAGAGACAACAACCAGTGTCTTCAAACCCAGTCCATCTCTGTCAACCTGAGCATACCCACTGAGTCACAACCGCCTTAGAGACAACAACCAGTGTATTTAAACCCAGTCCATCTCTGTTGTCCTGAGATTACCCACTGAGTCACAACCGCCTTAGAGACAACAACCAGTGTCTTCAAACCCAGTCCAACTCTGTCGTCCTGAGATTACCCACTGAGTCACAACCGCCTTAGAGACAACAACCAGTGTCTTCAAACCCAGTCCATCTCTGTCGTCATGAGCATACCCACTGAGTCACAACCGCCTTAGAGTCAACAACCAGTGTCTTCAAACCCAGTCCATCTCTGTCGTCATGAGCATACCCACTGAGTCACAACCGCCTTAGAGACAACAACCAGTGTCTTCAAACCCAGTCCATCTCTGTTGTCCTGAGATTACCCACTGAGTCACAACCGCCTTAGAGACAACAACCAGTGTCTTTTTAAACCCAGTCCATCTCTGTTGTCCTGAGCATACCCACTGAGTCACAACCGCCTTAGAGACAACAACCAGTGTCTTTAAACCCAGTCCATCTCTGTTGTCCTGAGATTACCCACTGAGTCACAACCGCCTTAGAGACAACAACCAGTGTCTTTAAACCCAGTCCATCTCTGTTGTCCTGAGATTACCCACTGAGTCACAACCGCCTTAGAGACAACAACCAGTGTCTTCAAACCCAGTCCAACTCTGTCGTCCTGAGCATACCCACTGAGTCACAACCGCCTTAGAGACAACAACCAGTGTCTTCAAACCCAGTCCAACTCTGTCGTCCTGAGATTACCCACTGAGTCACAACCGCCTTAGAGACAACAACCAGTGTCTTCAAACCCAGTCCAACTCTGTCGTCCTGAGCATACCCACTGAGTCACAACCGCCTTAGAGACAACAACCAGTGTCTTTAAACCCAGTCCAACTCTGTCGTCCTGAGCATCCCCACTGAGTCACAATCGCCTTAGAGACAACAACCAGTGTCTTTAAACCCAGTCCATCTCTGTTGTCCTGAGATTACCCACTGAGTCACAACCGCCTTAGAGACAACAACCAGTGTCTTCAAACCCAGTCCAACTCTGTCGTCCTGAGCATACCCACTGAGTCACAAAGAAAGCATGTGTAGGTGTCTGCATTCATCGTTTTTTCTTCAGTCACTTTAATAAACACCATAATCAGACTAGCTTGTAGTCAAGGCAACAGCCCTAGACTTCACAACTCTCATCAAAACTGAGCCATAAAAGCACACGAGCTTCTCACGTGGCGAATGAACAGACCCATCTGTGTAAATGACAGGGTCTCCCTCTAGAGCAGTGGTTCCCAACCTTTCTAAAGATGCGAGTCTTTAATTTACTTCCTCATGTTGTGGTGAAACCCTAACCATGCAATTATTTTCGTTGCTACGTCATAACTTCAGTGAAAATATATTTTTCGATGGTCTTTGGCGACGCTTGTGAAAGGGTCGTTCGACCGACATTGAGGTCACTACCCACAGGCATAGAACCGCTGGTCTAGGAAAATAATAAAAAGGGCAGGGCATGGAATTCTACTGCATAGCAGCTGAACTTTGTTGTCTGCTATCTAATTATTTGTCATGCAGGAGACGGAACATCTATTGGTATGCCCCGTGTGCTATGACGTATATCATGATTATTCAACTGACGGTTCGCGGGCCTAATCTGGCCTTGAAATGGCTCGCAGATCGTTGCCAATTGTATTACTGCACTTTCTACGCTGGGGATGGGGTCTGTGGCCCGTGACCATCCCAAATTTCAACATTCTGGCCCTTCGCTAAACTTAGTTGTATAACACTGACGTAGATGCTTAAATCAACAGTAAGTAATGCAGTTATGATGTCAGTATTCTCTCCAGTAGGATTACTAATAAGTTTTGAAAGTGAGTATTTTTACTGTACGCTTTTGTGTTTGTTATTTGGCAAAGTTGTTGTTCAAATTGATGTATCACCGGGATTTTTTTTTACTTTCATCTGTTTTAAATAGCAATCTTCCCGTGCTCTTTCCTGGACCCCATTTAGGGAGACAAACTGTCCTTAGCAAGCATGCCGTAGCATACTTATTATTTCTGCCTTTTTCGAGGTCGGAGTGCAAGTGCCTGAGAAGCGAGGAACTAAAAGTCTACAGTTGAAAAAAAAAAAAAAAAAAAGATCATTTTTGTCAAACGGATATGAACGCAACACTCAAATTCTGGGACAATACTAATGTCCAGAAGTGGACGAACAACAAGAACTTTCAGCAGGAGTTTGCAGACAGTAAACGTTAAGAAAAAGGAGATATAGCAATCTCACCAGTTTTTGTTTTTTAACCTTCCTTTTCTTTCGTTTTCCCGTGTACGCGGTTTTTAATACGCTTCAAATATATTTATTTATATAAATTTCTGGTGTGTGTTCAAAATTATTGTTTTACTATGCATCTCTCTGTTTCTGTATGTATCCAGGTAATACACAGGCACATGTAACAATTAGAAAAGAATAAAAAAGCCTGCAAAGATAAGATTTGGTTTTCTTTTTCTATTTTATACAGCAGTCTTACTATAGCTAAATCTGTCAAATAAATATTCACGTAAAAGTTAAGATCTGGAAAACATCATCTCCCTCTATTGTACAATACAACTTTCTCGCGCGCGCGCGTGTGTGTGTGAATGTGTGTGTGTGCCTGTGCGCGCATGTGTGTGCGTATGTGAGTGTGTGCGCACAGGCACACATACACAACCTAGTCTGTTTATTGTTAAGTTCCAGTTCAACCTCAAAGATTGTTTTAAGAATTCATTAACCAACATAGAACAGACGTCATCAGTCGCTTTACACTTGTGAAGCTTTCAAGGAGGAGATTGGAACACCTATGGATCTGTCCGGAGTGCTGTGATGATAATCCTTTCTAATCACTAATCACTAATCACTAAGAATGTCTTTGATGCTTTAAAGTTCTGAGACGGATGAGGGTTGCATAAGGTTTCTTGTAGCATTCCTAAGCTCAAGTGTCTTTCTGTTTTCATGCATCCACAGTAGGCTGACATTCACTGTGGGACTAGTTCTTTTCTTGCTTCTTCTTGCTGCTTCGAGATACCACCTAAGTGATTTTGTGTTTCTGTGTAGTATTGTTTCATTTGTATGTGATAATGAAGGCTCAATAGCCGCAACATTCACGTTTTGTTTGTATTTGTTACATTGTGAAGCTTGCTTATATACTTTTCGTTCGGTTTTGTATCTTTTCTAGTTTGTTTTTCGTGCAGACAGAATTCAGACTTCATTTATTTATCAATTTATTTATTTTTAAATAAAAGATTATGTCTTGTTTGGAGCATGAAATCGCTTGGAGGACTGATTTTTAGCATTTGAATATAACAGCATTTTATTTAGCTAAACTGGACTATAGGGAGTCAGGGTTGCCGTGGTGTAGCGGCTAGACGCTAGCCTGCGGATCTGAAAGTTGTGGGTTCGAGTCCTAACGGAGCCTTGGCTTTCAGGTCGACCCAGCCTTATTGATTTCTAATATGGGTCCATCTCTGTATGCCCAATATGCCTAAAGGCGTGGAAAAGGGACCTTTAGTTTAATTTTTGGGGGTATGCTTAGTTCAAAGATGTTGCTGCTTCTGCTCTGAAGATGGGGTTAGCTTTTCACGTCTATGTTGAGTGTGTCTTTGAGTTGCAATTAGGATGTTAATGTAGATTCACCAACTTAAGCTCTTTGTAAACAGCTTCTTGACCAAAACCTTATGAACACCCGTTCAAATATTGGAGGGATACTGATTTCTGAGTATATAAAGTTGAAAAAAAAAAGCTATGTGCTCTGAATCATTATTATTATTATTATTATTATTATGTAGATTATCAATGGGACGTCAACAACTATATTGATGAGCATGGGCAGCTAATCAACATCGTTCTTTCCATTTAATTATGTCATTTTTTATATGTGCATGCTGTGTCAAAGTTGTGCTTGCACAATGATTCATATTTTTTCTTTGATGCTTCATCCCCCTTCTGCTTTGAATTACCGTTTTTCGGGTAGTCTGGCTTAAGCTTTTCAAAATAAGTAAGCGATTTGTATTGTCTACGAAATCCAAAGGGTTCCAATGCAACAGTTTTCTCGATTGCAATACGGGGGTCCGTCTAAATGTTCTTTTTGTTATTTATTTGCTCATATTTTGAATCTTTTATAGGTTTCAGAATTTCGTTGTTTTTTTTTAAGCATATGAGAATGATATATGTTCCATAATAGGATTATCTGCTCTAGTATAGGCTAGCTTTCCAGCGTGTTCCATAATAGGATTATCTGCTCTAGTATAGGCTAGCTTTCCATTATGTTCCATCTAGCTGTTTCCCCATTACAGCGAGTCTTAAATGCCTTTTGGTTGGATTTTCTTCTTTTTTGAGTTTAGCTTCCCCGTAAACGTGGGCATCTCTTAGATATTTGTTAATTTTCTTACATTATGAATATTATTTATTTATGTGGATGAAAGAAAATGTTCCGGTGAGTTTTGTTGGTTTTAGTTTCAGACTGAGATGGCTGAGCTCCTGTATAACATTAGTCGGTACTATTGTCTCTGTTATCACAGAATGTTGGACAGCATAACCATGCCTGAAATCCAACATTCTGTCAGTCACTTCGTACGGAGAAGTGCATTGGGGAGATATAGCCTTACTTTTAAAGTTTTCATTTGAAGCCCCCCCCCCCCTCAAATTATTATGATTGTTATTTCTATACTTAAGGCCCCCAGCCGAAAGTGAGTAAGCAGGCTGAGCTTCATTACCCCAGTGCTTTGAATCAGTGCTCGTGAATGTGCTTTCATGTGTTTAGCTGCAATTATGTGTTTAGATATTATCATTTGTTTAGGTGCTGGCAGTTGTTCGGGCACCGTCATTTGTTTAGCTACCGACATGGAGAACAAACTTCAGGTTGACATTGCCATCATCAGTGGCGTACCCGTTGACTTTGATCTCCGCCACAGAGACATTCCCAACTACCCACTCGTTGCCCTTGTTAAAATCACCTGTGATTTTTCCCACAGTCATGTCCGCTCGTTTCCCCGACTTGTCTACAAGAAGGGCGCTACATTCAAAATTACAATTCTTCCTGTCCATAGAGTCCGTGGGCATGCGTGTAAACATCCCAGAAATGTTCACCCGGAGATAGCCGTCTCTAGTGCATACTGCTCCACCAATGAGCTTGTAATCCAGCTGCCCGATCAGATGGGACTGACTGGAGGCACTCTGCTGAAGCGTCACCATACGATCTATGTTACACAACTCCCACTCTAAAATGTGTGTGTACATCTTTCTCTGCTGTTTGTCGAAGCCAGCTTCCTTCTGTTGAGTTGGATTTTGAGATGCTGCGATGATTTCTCTTCTAACGTCCAACATTTGTTTGCCTAAATGGTCGCTGCTTTCTAGAAGCTTCTGATGTGTCTTGTCCATGTTTGACTGTATGAATGCGAAAGACTCCCTCATGGACTCATCAAGCCCGTCGTTCATTTCTATGACACGTCTGACTGATGTATGCAGCGATTTGATACTTTGTTCGATGCTTTCCCGGAAGTCGTTGAACTCGCTGCGCAGTCGCATTTGATTGTCTTCAATCTTCAGAAGCCGTGCGCTGATCTGCTTGCTCGTAGTATCCTACAGAAAGATCGAATAAGTATACATTATGTTGCAAGCTGAATGATTGTGCTAGGTAATTTATCTTTGCTTGTTTTATATAGTTCCTGTTGTTTTGTAAACTTGCCAGTGTTTTATAGTTCCTTGTTGCTAGTTGTGGGAACCTAGGGATCCACGCAACTTCTTCTTTTGTTCGCGTGAAATAAATTATCTATTTCTGCAATGGTGTCTCTAGTATAAACTTCATTGTTTCTTGTAATTCACTTAGCGGACCGTAAAGTTTAGCTTCCACCAGTGTATCTCTTGGCCAGAAGTTTTGAATAGAAATGATATATTTGGGACAGTCTTGTACGCTGTGATCTGTTGTCTCAGGTGCTAGTCCACATCCGCACATGGGAGATTCGCCAGGATTAAATTGTGTGTACATGTGGCCCACGTAATTTATAAAGGAACTGAGAACCATACCCCCTTTTGCCCCCGTAATTTCTTCATGGCGACACTTGCCATGTTGTGGTCCATGTTATGAACATTTAAAGAGCAGACGTGACCGACTGATGGGAGGGACAGATGAAGATATACAGTCACGCCTGAACAAAGCTACAGCTGCTTTTGGAAAGATGAGGCAAATCTGGAAATCCAACAATTACTGCAGAGGAACAAAACTCCAACTCTACAAAAGCATCATTTTGCCAGTTCTTCTTTATGGAGCGGAATACTGGAGAAGAATGACCAAAAAGGATGCACACAAGCTGTCCACCTTCCACCACACATTCTAAGTAGAATTATCAAAATTTTCTGGCCAGATACAATCTCAAACACTAAAGTACTTCAAGCCACAAACCAAGAAACTTTAGACAGTATGATTACCAAGAGAAGATGGAAATGGCTTGGCCACGTTATGAGAATGACTTCTTATATACCTGCCAAAACAGCTCTCACATGGACACCACAGGGAAAGAGAAAACAGGGGCGCCCAAAAACAACATGGAGACGAACGATGGAAAGTGGCCTGAGTGCGGCATCTTTGACATGGAAAACATCACTGAAGATTGCACAGGACAGAAAAGCATGGAAAGTCCTCTCTGAAGCCTCATGTGCCACTAGGCATAACGAGAACTGATGATGATGTGACAGACTGACTCCATTTGGTGCAAGTCCTGGAGATCATTTAACAACACCAGTCCGAACTGCCGAATACTCAGGCTCTCTGACACCGTTATTTCCTCCCTATAATTACTGGTCGAGTTCCCACAGGTCAACTACGAGCAAACTTGCAGATACAAGAGGGCTTAAAATGAAAAACCCTAAAAGCGTTTTAGATATTACCAGAATCACGCCATTGTCTTGTAACCCACAGACATTCATCGGCAAATGAAGGTTCAATATGTGCGGCACTTTCACAGACAGTCGGCAGTTGTGCTGAACCAGACCTTCAACGGCTGCAGTCGACTCCGGTGTCACCACTAGGTGTGCCTGATCTGGTCGTCAGTAGTCTATGACAGAAGTCACGCCGTTTTAAGCGTCCTTCTCCACTCACACAATTGCTGGACCGATAGGCATGCATCACCAGACTGGACCTTCTTTATTCGCTGATGAATTTATATAGATTTAATCCTTTCTGTGATTTAAAAAAAACACACACACACACAAACAAACAACGGATAACGGAACGCTGCTCCTCTTGGGTGCATGTCAAAAGTGTAGGGACCATCTTTAAAATACCATTATGATTTTACCGTATTTGTCTGCGCTGTCATGTCATGTGCTTGCCTCTCTTGGCATCCTTAACAACAATATTAACAGACTATAAGGCAATTGCACGGTTACTGTCATTTCTTTCACACTTTTAAAGTTTTCATTATAAGTCCCATGGTATTATTAGATTTATTATATTCAGTTAAGTTTCTACGATAATAAATATATTTTTTGGTTTAGAATGATTACAAATATTAAGACAATGAGGGAGATAGTCTTAAAATAGCAGTTAGGGATAGAGCAGATTATTACAACAACTGCAACTACCGTAGCAACTGGATGTGGTATGGGTTGTTCGGAAAAATGTATAATAAAAGTAGCACCCCACAAACCCACAGGAAGTTGATAGTAACTGAATTAGTTAACATCATTATCTCCCATCTCACCTCAGGGGTCACCAGTTGCTCATACTTAAACAGTTCCGGGTCATTTTGATTCCTCGTGATATCTTCATAATGGTGGTTGCAGCCGTCCTTAGGATCACACTCTATGGAAGACAGCAGGATTAATTATTGACAAAAAACTTTTTTTTTTTAAAACTGGCATGAGACCCAGTTCACCTCGCCTAACACTAAAGGAAATGAAAGTAAAGGACCATTTTCCGCGTCTTAAGACGTACTGGGCATATAGGGTTAAATCTATATTTTAGACCAATCGGCACTCGGTGGGTGATGTGGTCAACATCATGCCGGCCGCCTTTACTTCCCAGGACTAAATCTAGTAACCGCTCAAGGCTGGTCGACCTGGTCATTTTTAAAAACAGTCTAACTCCGTCAGGAGTTGAATCGACTACCTTTTGATCGGCAGGCGAGAAAACCCTCGGCTCCTCTGCTCCGCCCACCTATAGCACAAAGGGCTTACGAATTGGCTAGAGAAAGAGATACTTTCAGGCGTCAGAGGTGCTTTCGTGCGATAGAGATGCTTTCAGGTGTTCTGTGAAAAGACTGACGTTCTGTGAAGGACTTCCTGATTGATGACAATGAATTTAAACATGTATCACTGCCAGCCCTGCTTCAAAGTTATGCAGCTACCAACAATTATTAACAGCTTGTCATTTCTGAGAAGTTTTGGATTATTAACCAATGTGGGCCAAAGTTGTGGGAGAAAGGGTTCAGTCCATCTAGCTTGTAGATTATGGTCTAAAATAGGTAAAAGTAAAAAATAAAAAAATATCTTTATTTCCTGTGTGGGCTCTGGAGCTCCATTTTGGGAGAAATATAACCGATCCACCGCTGTCCTAAGAATGTCCTGCTAGGCGACTTTCATAGTCGTGTTAAACGAATCACCTCCTGGAAATATCCTTTCTATGGGCAGTGAGAAATGATCAGTCAAGCGCCGTGTAATTTTCATAGCAACCTCACGGCAGGCTTCAAATGCGCATCTCCTGGTGCTAAAACCTTAGAAAGCTAAACGTATTTTCTGCAGCCTCCGACAGAGAATAAATAAGATGTGTTTGTCGGTCTGTAACAGCTCTTAGTGCATCATCATCATGAAGCAGGTCCTTTGCAGAACGTCGCTCTCATCACAGTCTAACTGAAAGAAACTTGGTCTCTCGCCAGTTCTCCCGCCTCATGTAATTTCATACTCAAGGAGTCATTTATATCCTGTGCCCATCTTCGTGTCGGTCGGCCCCTGCCCCTCCTTCCGGGTACCATGCCTTCTGCTACAGTTTTTTCAAATCCGTCGTGGCGCTTGATATGACCAAAATATTTCAGCTTCCGAGAAAGGATGCTGTTTATTACCAATCTTCCTTGATGTTCAGATCTTTTAAGATGTCAATATTTCTCCTCTTCTTTGTCTTCTTAGGGCACCAGGGTGTAAAAATTGTCTAGTGCCAATTTTTATGTACAGCAGTGGTTTTAACCTTTTTATTTTTTCAGAGGATGTCCGCTCATATGTATGGTATCCCCTTGATCCAACTTTTAAAAAGATAATAAGAAAGAGGAGGACAAATCCCAAGCACTACTTACAAGAACTGTGGGTACTTAATTTATAACTTACCCCTGACGTCCCGACAACGTCACGGGAGACATAAGTACAAATGAGATGCCAAAATTGTTTGATGCAATCTATGAAACTTTCTCGCGCCCCTAACCCCCCCCCCCCCTCCCCCACCCCACCTCAGGTTGAAAACCACTGACCAAGGCATGGGTGGTCTCCATGGCGAAGTGGTTACGTTGATTGCCTTCTGCTCTGAAGAATGTGGGTTGGATTTCGAAACCCGTCCTTCGTTTGGCGATTCATTTTTCGAAGATCCATTGGGGTTGTGGCTTGGGTTATGGAGTATGTTTTGTTCTGTGTAACGATCTTTCATGAGCTAACAGCTATATTCACGTAGAGGCTTAGCCATTAAATTACCAAAAATGAAGGCGAATCTTTCGCTTTTCAACAACAACTAGGTACAAGAAGCCAATAAAACCCTAAAGTCATCAAACTTGGCGCAAATACAAATCAGATCTTAATTATAACCGAAGAAGTTCTCAGCAGAATTAAACTTGGTCAATTTTTTGCCCTACTAGAACCTCCCCCCTTACCCCCCCCCCCCTAATTCCCCCCCTCCCCATTTCCAACCCATCAAAGTAACAATAATCTTAATAACCGTGATATCCCGTGTGGGTTCCGGGACCCCAGTGTGGTAAAGTAAAAATAGACCCACTGCCGCACCAATAAGCATCTCGTTAGAGTCGACTAATTAAAGGCTTCCTTCGAAGTCTGAGTGTATCTGCCTGAGAGGCAAGGAACCAACAGTCTGCATACAAATAAGTCAGATCTGTAAAATGGATGTTCATGCACTGCTCAGTTTCTAGAACAAGACTTGAGTCCAGAGGTGGACGAACAACCAGAACTTTCTGCCAGAGTTACAGCTAGTGAATGCGGAGAAGATGACAACCTTGATGTTAAGCATATACACATATTGACAATAAACAAACAAAACACAAACACTCACTGTGACAAACAGGTGGTTTCGGTGCCGGGTAGGGAGGTACGGTCTTTGAACCTGCTCTCGATGCCGGAAGAGGTGGGGGCGTGGCTGCACTTGTCATTGTTGTAAAGGATTTCTGGTTAAAGATATTACGTGTTGGTCATAGACATTCAGTTGATGTCATAGGTAATAGAATCTCTTCCATGGAAGAAAACACATTGGTGGCAATTATAATGAAATGTCAGTGCAGTGAGAGACAATACTTTAATATCCAACGATAATAAATGTCCCGGCAAAGACAATACACTTATATCTAACGATAATAAATGTCCCGGGAAAGACA